AATATAGTTTTGAAGACTTTTTATATGAATCATCTTATTATTTTTTATATACATTCTAAAGTTGTTAAAAAAAAAAAAAAAATAAATAATATTAAAAATCAAAAATTAAATATATATATATATATATATATATTTTCTTGTTTATTTCCTATTTTAATTATTTTTTTTTTTTTTTTTTTTTTTTTTTTTTTTTTTTTATAATTCACTTAAAATTGATTGTTTCATGTAGTTTAAAGAATTTACAGCATCAAAGGACGATACTATTTTTATATTATCTTTTAACTCATTTAAGTTAATAGTATTTTTGTCTGAATTATTACATTGATAAGAATTTATAAGTTGCTCCTTCTTTCTTTTTTTATTTTTTAATTTGATATTGTTCACAATTGTTGATTTAATACTAGGATTATTTTTTAAGTTATCTACAATATGACCATTTATTGTAACATCTTTTTTGTCTTGTTTATTTAATAGATTCTTATTATTAATTTTTCTTTCTTTTTTTATTGTAATATTATTTTTTCCTTTACTTATTTTTTTATTACACTTATTTTGTATTGAAATTTTTGCATTTTTTTTTTCTTTATTTGTAGTGATAACTTTCTTATTTTCTTTTTCATTATTCATTTTTTTTTCCTCATTTTCACTGTAAATATCTTCCTTATTATTACATTCTTTATATTCATTCACATAAATTTTATTTTTATTTTTATTTTTTTTTTCTAAATGTTCGCTATTATCAGTATCAGCAGAAATTTCTTCATCATCATTGCTTTCGAATGAAGATTCATTCATCTCATCACTTTCTGAGTTAATTTCTTTATTCAATATTTCATTATCCGTATGCGTTGTTTTAAATCTTCTTTTGTCATAAACGTTAATTTCATCATTAAATTTTCTATTTTCCTTTTTTTTTTTCAAAAGACTTTTATCTGTTTCATTAATTTTTCCTAATTTCTTTTCTAATTTTGTAAATTTTTCTTTTTTATTAATGTAAATTTTCTTATCATAAGTAATTGAATCTAAATTTTTTAACAAAAACATTTTTATTTTTTGTATAAAACATATATTGTTATACATTTTATTTTTATAAAAAAATGAGCATTCTTCATTTATATTTAGCTCTTTTTCTAATTTACTAAGTTTAAAATATATATTGTACACATTTTCAAAATTACAATTTTTAATTTTTACAAATGTATACAACATTTTTAAAGTTAAATAAAAAGATATGTTATTTTTGAAAATCATATTGAAATTAGCATTATTTCTTCTATTAAAAATATAAAAAAAAAAATGCTCATAATGAATTAATATTTTTTCTTTTACTGATTCATTTGTATAATGAGCTAAATATTTAAGATATAAGCAAAGAGCTTTCGCATTATTATTATACAGATTATAATATATATCAGTAATATTATCACATCTAATAATTTCCTTAATTTTATTTAATACATTAAATAATTTCTTATCCTCTTCCTTTATATTTTCTTTTAAGTCTTCTTCTATTAATAATTTGTTTTGAGTTAATACATTAATAATTCTAAATAAGTAAACAATATAATTTACAAATTCATCAAAAATGGCAAAACATTTTTTTAATAAATCTTTTGAGTATATATATATGTTGTTATTTAAAAAATATGATAAAAATAAATCATTTTCATTATTGCATACAAAAAAAAATTTCATAAAATTTACAAATTGGTTAGCATTAATACTTATGATTTCTGAATCTAAATGAACTATAATTTCTCTGAAGAAATCAAATATATTATCTGTTATATATCTAAAAATGTTATTGGTATTGTAATTATTATTTTTATCAACATTAAAGTTATTTACATAAATATATTTTTTTTCTTCATTTATTGTTCTTAAAATATTTTCAATATTATACATATTTTTTTTTTCTTTCTTATCATATATACAATTGTTATCATTTAAATAAATATTCATCTTTTCATTATTTAAATAATTCTTAGATATATTTACTAAGTATTCTAATAATTTATTAATGCCCAAAACAATATCTTTAATACTAAGATTAATATTTATATATTCCATACTTTTTATAATATATATGTTGTTATCTGTATTACTAATTCTAAAATTAACCAATTTTTTAAAAATATTTATTGAGTTTAGAAAAAAATATAAATTTTCTTTATATCCATATTTTAAAAACAAATTTATATTTTCATTAGCATAATTATTCATCTCTTTATATATTTCATTATTTAAAATTATATTATTTTTTTTTTTTAGATACAAAACAAAAATTTCTTTAATGATTTCTATAGAATCATTTTTGTTTAATTGAATATATAAAAAATTAAAAAATTCTTTTTCGTAATCTTTTATAAAATGAAAATTTATATCTACTAAAAAGAAAATAATTTTATTAGCCATATTTACTATATTTTCATCATATAACGTAGTCAAATTTACATTAATAATAGAAATTAATATATTTTTAATATGTTTGAAGAAAAATTTACTAATTTTTTCATTTTGTGATAAAAAAAAAATAAATTTAGTGATGGAATGAAAAGTATAAATCTTATAATTTATAAATTTATTATCATCATTTGAATTTATTTTTAAGTCTATTACATTTTTCATAAGTATATCTATTTTTTCAAAAAAATTTAAATAATTTGTGTCTTCTGTTATCTTATTTTCATCTGAGTTTTTCATGTTTACATTTTTTTTATCTTCTTTTTCTTTATTTAATATATTCTTACTCTTTCCTTTAATGTCATCTTTTTTATGTAATATATCCAATTTGTTATTTTTGCTTTCATTTTGTTTTGTTTTTTTGTTTATATATATATCTAACTCATTTAAACAATATTCCATATGCTTAAATAAAAAACTTTTATCTGCTATAAATTCACATTCCAAATTAAAAATAAATGTTGTAAAAATAAGATAAAAATATTTATTATCATTATTATTAATGTTTTGATCTTCAATTAAATTTGAAAGTTTTTTGAAAGTTGCATATTTAATATCATTTATAAAAAAATCCTTTTTATCTTCAACATTTGATAATTTTTTTTTTAAGTGATGAAAACACAAACATAAACTTGATAAACTAAACTCTTTTTTTTCCCAGTTTTCCAAAATATCATTCAATATTTTATTAAGCATTGTCTTGTTTAGTTAATTTCATAAAATTAAAAAAAAAAAAAAAAAAATATTGGCTGTTTGTTAAATATTTAAAATTCTATTAATAATGATATAATTATTTTTCAAAATAATTATAATAGTTAATTTTCAAATTTATAATACAATAATTAATAAACATATATACATACTTTTAACATTTCAAAAAAAAAAAAAAAAAATGTAACTTTTAAAACAAACTCTAGTATATAATAAAAATTACAACAAAATATAAATTTATAAAATAAAAATAATTAAACCTTTTATGAATAGGTAGAAATTAAAAATATACATCTGAAAATTTTTATATATATAACTAAAATATATTTTATAGATTTTTTTTTTTAATTATATATTTTAAGAATTTTCAAATATATACAAATTTAGCTTTTCATAAAATATAAGTATAAAATTAATGCTAAATATTTTAAATAAATAACAATATTTATATTTTTTTAAAATTTTTATAAGAATTTAAATTAAAACATAAACATAGAAAAATAATATATAGTTAATTTAAAGAAACTCGTATTATCAATGTTTAAAAATATTAAAAGAAAAAAAATTATGTTTTTTTAAAATTACTACAATATTTATGTATGCAAGAAATTTCTGTTTCATGCATTTCAAAAAAATTTTGATCATTGATGGATTTTTAGTTGTGTATCTTTTTTTTTTATGTTAGCAAATAAAACTTTAAATAATTTTTCTTTAAATAAAAGCTTTTTATTATTTAATTCAAAAATAATATTTATATATATATATATATATATATATTATTGATACATTTCTTTTTTTATTTTTTGAATACAAAAATATCAATGATAAAAACAAAAAAATTTTAAATAAAAAGAATAATATATAATTTACTTATAAAGGCAATATAAGTATATATATATGCATAAGAAGTAAAATAAATAAAAAATATTATTTTTTTTAAATAATTACAGGATACTAAAAATGAGAATTTTTTTATTTTCAATTTGTCAAATATGAAAAATGGATATAAATGTAAAAACATTAAGACAATTATTAAAAAAAAAAAAATAATTTTTTTTTTTAAGTCTAATATGTTTTTTCTATTTAAAAGTTTTTATACATAAAATTTCGAATTATTAATTATTTTTAAATATATAAAAAACATTTATAAATATTTATTTTTTAATAATACTCATATATTTATGTATTTTACTTATAAATCAATTGTATTCAAATAAAGAAAAAAAATTATTTGCATAAATTTTATTTTTTTTTTTTTTTATGAAATAATAATAAATTATATGACAATGAAAATATTGTAAATCTTATTAACCATTAGGAGTTAACATTGAAGCAAATAAGTCTTTTATTTTTTTTTATTATTTATTTTGTTTAATTTCATATTTAAATTATATCAACTATATGAAATATTATATGTTAACAATTTTTTTTTAATAAAAGATCTTTTGTATTTTGTAAAATTTTCTTTTTTACTACTTCATTATATATTTTGACTTTTTATTCTTTCTTTTGTTCATTCTTTTTTTTTTTTTTTTTTTTTTTTTAAATTATATTTTGTATCTTGTCAACAACAAAGAAAAATATGTATTTTTCTATTTGTTATAGTTTTTTATATATTTAAAATTATATCATATTTTTGAAATATTATATAAATATTTTAAGATAAATTCTTAATGAATTAAAATAATAAAAAAGTAACAATATTAAAAGATTATTAAATCAAATCATAAAAATTACAAGTTTACATGTGTGCATAAATACTATGATATATATATATATATATATATATGTATATGTATACTTGATATTTTATTTAATGTTGTTATTATTTTTTTGAAATGAAAACAAATTAAATAATATTTGAATAAAAAAATATGTCATCTAATTATAAAAACTTAAAAGCTATTAATTATGATTTTATTAGTGACTTTAAAGAAAAGAAAATAGATAAGGGAGAAAATTGGTTAAAAAAAAATGTCTTGTTAGAAAAAAGTGAATATAATATGGGTAAAGATTTTAAAAATGAAAGATTAGAACAAAATAATAGTAAATTAAATTTCAATTCTAAAAATTTTTATTTTAATGAAAATTATTCATTTTTTAAAGATACAAAAACTTATAATAAGAAAAATAATTCCTGTGAGAATAAAAATGAAGAGAAAAATTCAGTTGTGGAAGACAACTTAATAAAATATAAAGAACAAACTAAAAACAGAATGACAAATAATTCAGAAGACAATAATATGTTAAAAAATAATAAAAATGAAGATTTAAATTATACAAAAGTTGAAAGAAACTTAAAAAGGAAAAAAATAAATGAAATTATAAATAAATATAGGAAAACTATGAAAATTTATCAAGATAGAAACACACATAATGATTCTGATATAGATAAAAATAATGTATATAATACCAATAAAAATGATTGTAACTTAATTAAAAATAGTATAGAAATCAAAGGATTGGAAAAAAATGATAGTAAATATAATTGTAATGATATAACATCAATAGATAAGGAAAAAAAAAAAGTTCAGGATACTTCAATTATTAACACAGTTAACTTATATAAGTATGAAAAAAAATTACATCCTTCTGAAGAAAATAATTGGAAAAAGAATAATTCTATAAAAATTAACCATAAAAATTTTATTGATGATAATAATAAATATAAAAATTACTTTAATACGAATTTTGATAAAAATAAAGTTGAATGTGATGATTATAGTAATAATCTTGCAAATATGAAAAAGGATAAGAATTATATATATTATTTTAACAATGACGAAAATATAACAAATGATATTAATAATAAAAATAATCAGAATTTAAATAATATTAAAAAAAAAGATATTCAAGAATCAAGTAAAATAAATAATTTTGATAGAATATTATATGACAAAAAAATACAACTATGCAAAATTGAAAATAAAAGGAATACTTCTACTGATAAAGAAATTCATAAGGATGATAATATATATAAAATAAATAAAAATAACTTAAATTTTGATTTACCTACATATAATAATAGGTTTTATATTAACGAAGATAAATTATCCTTTAGTCAAAAAAAAAGAAATTATTTAGATTATGAAAGGGAAAAACAAATTGATTTTAAGAAATCCGAAATTTTAAAAAACAAAGATGAAAAAGAAAAAACAACAGATTCTAATACTTTTAATTTAAGTGAATTAAAAAACTTATTTAATGAAAATAAATTTTTTGTTGAAGAAAAAAAAATTAAAGATAAATTTAAAGAAATAGAAAACATAGAAAAATCAATTGAATCTAAAAATTTATTATCAAATGATGAATACACAATTAATAATGAACAAAAAAAAAGTTTTATTGATGTAAAGAAATATTTACAACATAAAAAATATCCTGATGGAGAAATAAAAAAAAATGATAATATTAAATATCATATAGATGAAAAAAATAAACAACAATCGAATGAATACAATATCATTAAAAATAAAATTTATAATAATGATAAAAATAATTCAAATGTTGTTATAAATAATAAATTAGACTTTTATAAAAACATAAAAATGAACGAAATGAAAAAATCTAATGAATTAAAAACTGAATTACTTTACAATGTTACTGAAGATAATATAAAAAAAAAATATAATTCAGAAACTTCATTAGATCATAAATATGACGTAAAAAATTCTATAAATGCATCAATAGTTGGAAGCTATCTTAAAAAAGGAGACATGGATATTTTGAAGAAAAATGATAATTATGAAAAAAAGCTTAAAATAAATAAAAAATTATTAAACTTTAAAAATGATAGAAATGTGCAACCAAATGAAATTAATAAAATAAATAATGAAGAAAATGATATATTTGATAAAAATAGTTTTATAAATAAAGATGATAATAGAAAAAGTTTATTTTATGATGCAATTGAAGAACCGTTATACAAAGATGAAAATAACATAAAAAAATGTATTGAAAAAAAAATAAATAAAAATGAAGAAAAGTTAAATAAATATGACTATAAATTGAGCACTCATTATGGTAAAACTGAGGATATCAAAGAAGGAAAATGGAGTATTTTAAAAACAAAAAATTTAGAAATTAAGCATGTAGGTAATAATTCTATAATTGATGATAAAAAAAAAAAGGAAAGACATTTATACAATAATATAAGTGAAAATTTCAAAAATTCGTTACTATCAAAATTAAAGGAAATTAATAAAAGAAAAGAAAATATTAATAGTGATTATGTAATAAAAGAAAATGAAGAATTGAGTAAAAGTAGCAAATTACTTATTGAGAATATTGATTTTTTAAAAGATAAAAAATTATATGATATTTATGAAAAAAATAAAATAAAAAACGAAAAAGAAGAAGAAAAAGAAGAAAAAGAAGAAAAAAAAGAAAAAGAAGAAAAAGAAGAAAAAGAAGAAAAAGAAGAAAAGGAAGAAAAGGAAGAAAAGGAAGACAAAAATGAAAAAGTAGAAGAAGAAAAAAAAAAAAAGAATTTAAATGATAATAATTACATTCCTTTAAAAAATAATTTTGTGAACAATTTTAACACAAAAAATAGTTCCATTAAAGAAGAAATAAAATACATTAATGGTAATATTAATAATAAAGAATTAACTAAAAGTCATTTAAAATATGATAAAGATTTTATAAATTTGTATAATTCTAAAAATGTGAAAACAAATAATGACAATTACTTAAATGCTAATTTTACAAGCGAAAATATTGATTGTAAAATAAAAAATGATTTTAATAGTGGTAATAAAAATATAAATTCAAAATATAAAGAAATAAATATAAACAGGAATAATATGAGTCGTGAAAAAATAAAGTATGATTATAACTTTGAAATTAATAATGAAATTTCTCAAACAGATAAAAAAAATAAAATAGAAAATATAATCAAATGTAATAATAAAGATGAAATAAAAAACATAGAAATATGTACAAATGAAAGTATAAAAAGAAAGAATGATAAAATCTTAAACAGGAGTATTAATGAATATGTTAACATGAATGAAAGAAGAAATCAATATGAAAACAATAAAAAAAATGAAAATGAAAAAGATACAAGTAGTATAAATAAAAAGAGTGTTAATTTAAAGTATATATTAACACAAGATTCAGTAAAGGAAGATATTTTTTCAAAAAATATTTTAGCTAATTTTGATGAACACTTAAATGAAGCAAGAGATAATTCAAATATGAATACACATAAGAACACTTTGTATTATTCTGTTGACTTTCTAAATAATTTAATTAATGAGGATAATAATAGCAAATCCACTCATGATATATTTTCACGAAGGATAAATAAACTGTCAAGAAATCAAAAAAAAAATGAAAATAAAATTAGTTATAGAAAAATTAATGAAAAGGAAAATGGTTATAATATATATTCAGAAGAAAAAAAAAAGAACTCAAATGAAAAAATAAAAGAAAAATTAGAAATGATAAAACAAATTAACAATGAACAAAAAACCCAAATTGATGAGGATAATAAATTAAGACATGAAATAAATTTGAAAAGAAAATTATATGAATTAAAAATTAGAAGAGAATTTGAAGAGAAAATAAGATTACGAAGAAAATTAAATGAACAAGAAATTATACATGAAAAAAAAAAGGAATGTATAAATGATAATGTTAATAAAATAAAAGAGAAGGAAAAGGAAAAAATAGAAGATAACGATGAAGAAGTAGAAAATACAAAAGAAAAAAAGAAAGAAAAAGAAAAAGAAAAAGAAAAAAAGAAAAAATTATTTGAAGACTATTCTAGTGATGGTAGTTATTATAAATATGTATACAGGAATTTATATGAAGAAACATGTAATAAAAAGGTAAAAAATTATTTTTATGATATAAGTGATAATTTGTACTTACAAGAATGTTCAGATAATTTTTTTCATAACATTAAAAGTCATTCATCAGTTGATAATTCTATTTCTAATAGTTTTGATAATGAATTAATTTCCTTAAGTAAAATAAAATTTGATGATTTTGATTATAATTACTTAAATGAACGTAAAATGTCAAAATGCATAAAAAAAGAAAATTCCACTTGTTCTCGTAAGAGTGAAAGTGATGATAAGTTAAAAAATAAGTTTTTAATTAAACCTCAAGTAGTTTTAACAGATAATGAAAATAATTGCACAAGTGATCAAAAAAAGAAAAAAACGATGAAACTAGAAAAATATAAATTATCAAATAAATACGATTCAAATAATAACCACAGTGATAGAGATTATCGAAGTTCCTACTTGACTAAAACTGAAAAAAAAAAGTCTTTTGATTATTCTAACAGTATAATTAATTCTAACAATTATAAAAATAATAATGAAATATTGAATAAATTATTAAACATAAAATATCAAGATAAGATAAAGAAAAATAATATAAATGAAAAAAGTGGGATAATAATAGAGAAAAATAAAATTGAGAAAAATGTAATTGAAAAAAATAACAATAAAGAAGTAAATAATATAAATGAAGAGAATAATGTAACTGAAAAAAACAACACAAGTATAGAATATATTATAAATGAAGAAAGTTATACAAATGATAAATACAGCATAAATGAAGTAAATAATATAAATGATGATAATGTAATAAATAAAAAAAATAATTTAAAGGAAGAAAATAATACAAATGAAAAAAACAATATAAATGAAAAAAGAAATATAAATGAAATAAATAATTTAATTGAAGAAAACGACATAAATCAAAACAATAATATAAAAGAAGAGAATAATACAAATGAAAAAAACAATATAAATGAAAAAAGAAATATAAATGAAATAAATAATATAACTGAAGAAAACGACATAAGTAAAAAAAATTATATAAATGAAGAAGATAATATAAATGAAAAAAATGATATAAATAATGAGAATAATATAATTAAAGAAAACTACATAAATAAAGAAGATAATATAAATGAAATAAATGATATAAATAAAAAAAATTATATAAATGAAGAAGAAACTAGTAATAACAATATATATGAAAATTATAATAATATAAAATTAAACAAAAATTCTGAAGTGAATTCACATTTAGAAAAGTCAAATTTACAAAAATTGAATTTGTCTAATAACCAATCAGGAAAAATGGAATATGGAAATGAAGATGAAATTAAAAATAAATCATCTTTAAATAAAACAGAAAACAAAATTAGTTTGAATGAAAATGAAGAAAAAGAAAAAGAAAAAGAAAAAGATGATGATAATATAAAATCTTCTTTATCTTCGTCTGATAATGCTATACCTAAAATTAACATTTTACAAAATAAAGAAAATTACATTCCTTTAGATGTTGCCTTAAATTTTGTCATGGATAATCAAAAATTAAAAAAAAATATACAAAAGGAAAATAAAGGAAATAAAAAAAAGAAGTAATTAAAAATAGATTATATTATTTATGCATATATATATTTATGTTACATTATTTTTATTATTTTACTATATAACAAGTATAGTATTACTTTTTTTTTAATGGAATTTTTTTGATTTTATTCTGTATATCTTTGAATTAATATTCTGAATTTTCAATTATCTCAATGCTGTTTTTATTTTTTTATTATACTTTATTCTTTTTATCATTTTATTTTATCCTTTTATAGAACTTTTGTGCAATGGCTAATGGAGGAAAGAAAAAAAAGACTAAAGAATAATTTACCAATAGATATATAACATTGATATTTTTTTATTATTTTCACTTTTTTAAT